CGCGAAGGGGGTTTGGTACTCCACCGCCGTCGCGGCCCCGGCGGGGGCGCTGCGCAGCGGGCTGAGGGAGTTGGACGTGGGGCTGAGGGAGGGGGAGGCCTGGGAGGGGGGGTCCTTCGCCGTCGGGGCGTGGGGGGTCGCCTCGGGAGGGCAAAGGGGGCTCGTGGCTAGGTTGGACCGGGTATCCTCCATCTCTAACATTGTGGTGGGAGGGTATCAAACCGTGAATGCTAATGTCTAATGGGAAAGTATTTAGTCCTTGTTGTGGTTATTGTTGGTGGTGGTATTTGCCAAAATATTGTTAGGGATATTAGGAGCAAATCGAAATGGACTACGTCGTATAGAAAGGGTGCGTACAGGTAGGTATAGAATGGCTTGTTGTAGTCTTATTCAGTGTCAGGTGATAATAAAGGAATAAAAAGGGAAAAATAAAACTAATTCTAAGCAAAAATAAAAGAAAATCCTTGGGGAATGAGTCATAGAACAGAAAAAAATATTGAAGAAAAATCGTAAATTGTGTTATTATTAGCATTATTGTCGCTTATATATATATATATTCCAAATTCTCATAATGAGATACAATACAAACCTTAGTAAAAAGTATAAAATGTGAGGTAATAGATTTGCCAAGAAACAAGTATGAGCGTTCAGACTAGAAAATGCACCTCAACTCTTCTCGAGATCGTTAAAGAGGGTTAATAAAATGATAATTTAATGGGGTTTTCTTTTTACTTGCTCTTTTACCCCCAAAGTGCTGAGAGAAATTTTGACATTTTTTCCTACTATTATGATGAGAAATATTTAATCACTGCACTTAACTAATATATGTTTAAGAAAAAAATGAGGGAAAAGTTGAAGAGTTGATAATTTAGTTGAATAAAACTAGTTCCGTCATGGTTTAAGTCAAAGCTAGTGAAAATAGCTCACAAGAACATAAACTAAGCGCCCGCATATCAAACTAAACAGACTCGCCTAATTATCAAAGGATAATCGTTTGAAAGGAAAAATGGCGGATATAATCATCTATCCTTCCTATTCATTTGCTTTCTATATTCCTCATACAATTATGAAAGAATATGTTTCAGTATAAAGATGAATATTAACAGGTATGCATAATATATATATATATATATATATATATTAGTTTTATACCCTTTGTGAAAAGGGATACACATATGTTTACCTGTTCGTCACTTTAGGGGGTAAATGAAATGAATTCAACAACAAAAGGGATAAAAAAGTACGCTCGAAAGAATTTTACAATGTAAAACAAAAAAGGAAATCAGAGAAGAACACAAGTAGTCTGTAATGTTTTCTATTGGATTTCGTTTTTTATTATTTTAAGCTCTTTTCAATAAGCAGAAGGGCAAAAAGGTGGTAAAAAATAATGACACTGGAACTCAAAAACAAACAGGACCGAGTAAAAACATACCAAAGTTACAGCTATATCTTATTTTTTTTTACAAATAACGCAAGAGACATCTCTTTTCCATTTTTTTATAAAGGCAATAAACAAGAATAACGTAAACATCAGTTTTTTTTAATGGAAATAGCATAGTAATCAACCATTTCAAATGAATGTTGGAGATATAAATGGATGTATGAGATCACTTGAAATGACAAAGAATATGTTTTTCCCTTTTTTCGAGCGACACTAATATAAGACTATTAAGAGCGAAACTGTGCTTAACATTTTAACCGGGGTTTATCTTTTTATTTCCATTTTGAACAGCCCCCCTTCCCAAAAAAAAAAGATTGAAGGTCAGTTGATCTTTAAGCTTTGAAAAATTAGGTCTATATAAGTTACACATAAGCATCTAAAAAGGAAACAGTAGAAGTAACATAGTAAAATGTTAATAATTTATAAAAAAAGAAATGAAAGTGGTGTAAATATCTGTGTGATATGAAAACGAAAATAAAGGAAGCTTTTCCATTATTTAGCGCATAAAATGGGTTCACAGATTGCCCGTGATTGCATGTTCACACCACTTCACACGTAATACTATAAAGAAGAGGAAGAAGCAAACAACAACTAAAAGAATAAAAGTAAAAGAAGGCATGCCAATCTATAAGTAAAGAGGTGAGCAAACTATCATGATTATTATTAATACTTGTGCAAAGAATAATAAAAAAAACACCATCATGCAAAAAGATCTACAAAAGGAGTTAATTGGAAAAATCAAACCGCCATGTATACGGCATGGTTTACATATTTCTGATCTTCTGCTTTATAGAAAGTATAATTAATCTACTAAATCACTTCTTTAATTACATCAAGTTGTATGATAATGACAGTCTCTGACATCAACGAGATTTAAACCACGAATACATACATAACAAAGAAAAACTATCCACAATTAGGGGATAAAAAATAGAAAAGACATCCCATACAAAATAAGATGAAAAGAAGGAAAAAATCTCTCATTCAATCTGTGGAAATAGAAACTGATGAGCAAATACGGAAATGCCATGCTCACGATATGTATAAAAGATGCATAACAAACCACAGTGTTTGCAAACCCTATCTCATCATCCTCTGGTTATTATATCTATTATAAATTCTAGTGATTTTATCTAGACAATAATTCAAGGACTTTTCGCTCAGAGGTCAACCCTATTTATATTTACGCAAAACAAAATCTGAAGAAAAAACTCAAACACCTTTAACTTCTTTTTTTTTAAGAGAAATCGCATCACGGTGTTATTGTTTTTGTTGTTGCTAACTATCCCTTCAATCTTCATTTAAATGCAGAAAATTTCATAGGATGTTCCAACATAGAACATATTATTGTCAATTATAACTTGTTTGTGTGAGTGTATGTCGGGTGGAGTAAAGGGGGGGAGAGGGGGCGAGAATCCCGTAAAGAACTTTCCGCCTACTCTTCAACTCAACGTCTTTATCCCGACGCTATTTCCGCAAGAGGAAGAAACAACCCTCAGACCCCCTAAAAACTAAAGATGAAGTATAGGTATGGTAAGGCTCCTCTCTCTTTCACGTGGGCGAACCTCTTTTTTTTCCCCTGAAGCCGAGTTTTACTCAAGACGCTGCTCGAACTACTACTCGTGTTGAACCCATTGGGGGCCGACGGCATGATCTGCGATCGGCAAGACCGCCAAGGTTGTTTTAAATAATGAGATAACGACGATGCGCTTTCTTTTGCGGTGGGCGAAGAATGTCGAAGGTAAAGATGCCCGTCCATCGCGCCAGTATGGCTAAAAGGCAAAAAAGGCAACTTCCGAGGTGGTGGATGGGGCTCAGAGAGGGGTTTTACTGGGCGAGAGGTCTTGAGGACTATTTTTCGCGGCGGATCGAGTGGGTCCTCCAAGGGTGGCCTGAGGTCGCGTCGGGGCGAATGACCGCTCCCTGGCCGCGTTGGACGCGTTAACGGGACTTTTCCCCCGCCTTTTATTAATTTACGCTCCCCTTCCTCATTCCCGTTGAGAATTCGCGGAACGGCTCGCACCGGGGTTTTCATCAATCGCCTTCCGAAAGATCGCCCCGGGATGGGTTTGTTGACCTCCCCATTCAGCATGGATTCTTTTTTGATGGGGTAGGTGAAGGGAAAGCCGTTTAAAAGATCACTTAACGGAAGAGTCCCGCGCGGCTTGGAAGGGGTTTTTTCCTCCTCCACCTCCCTCGGTG